GGAATATGGACAAAAGCTTCAGTTTAGAACAGTGGACAAGTAAGTGGCTACATATTACACTAGTGAGTCTAAACTTTTGATGGATCTTCATATGTATGTATATTTATGGACATGGATCTTCATATGTTGAACAGTGATATATAAAACTATTTAGGGACATGGATCTTCATATGTTGAACAGTGATATATACATCTATTTAGGACATGGATCTTCATATGTTGAACAGTGATATATACAACTATTTATGGACATGGATCTTCATATGATTTACATTGATATATACAACTATTTATGGACATGGATCTTCATATGTTGAACATTGATATATACATCTATTTATGGACATGGATCTTCATATGTTGAACAGTGATATATACAACTATTTATGGACATGGATCTTCATATGTTGAACAGTGATATATACAACTATTTATGGACATGGATCTTCATATGTTGAACAGTGATATATACAACTATTTATGGACATGGATCTTCATATGATGAACATTGATATATATATAACTATTTATGGACATGGATCTTCATATGTTGAACATTGATATATACAACTATTTATGGACATGGATCTTCATATGTTGAACAGAGATATATAAAACTATTTAGGGACATGGATCTTCATATGTTGAACAGTGATATATACATCTATTTAGGAAATGGATCTTCATATGTTGAACAGTGTTATATACAACTATTAATGGACATGGATCTTCATATGATGAACATTGATATATGCAACTATTTATGGACATGGATCTTCATATGTTGAACAGTGATATATACAACTATTTATAGACATGGACCTTCATATGATGAACATTCATATATACAATATTTATGGACATGGATCTTCATATGATGAAATTTGATATATATAACTATTTAGGGACATGGATCTTCATTTGTTGAACATTGATATATACAACTATTTAGGGACATGGATCTTCATATGTTGAACAGTGATATATAAAACTATTTATGGACATGGATCTTCATATGTTGAACATTGATATATACAACTATTTATGGACATGGATCTTCATATGATGAACATTGATATATGCAACTATTTAGGGACATGGATCTTCATATGTTGAACAGTGATATATAAAACTATTTATGGACATGGATCTTCATATGTTGAACATTGATATATACAACTATTTATGGACATGGATCTTCATATGATGAAATTTGATATATATAACTATTTAGGGACATGGATCTTCATATGTTGAACATTGATATATACAACTATTTATGGACATGGATCTTCATATGTTGAACAGTGATATATAAAACTATTTAGGGACATGGATCTTCATATGTTGAACAGTGATATATACATCTATTTAGGACATGGATCTTCATATGTTGAACAGTGATATATACAACTATTTATGGACATGGATCTTCATATGTTGAACAGTGATATATACAACTATTTATGGACATGGATCTTCATATGTTGAACATTGATATATACATCTATTTATGGACATGGATCTTCATATGTTGAACAGTGATATATACAACTATTTATGGACATGGATCTTCATATGTTGCACAGTGATATATACAACTATTTATGGACATGGATCTTCATATGTTGAACAGTGATATATACAACTATTTATGGACATGGATCTTCATATGATGAACATTGATATATATATAACTATTTATGGACATGGATCTTCATATGTTGAACATTGATATATACAACTATTTATGGACATGGATCTTCATATGTTGAACATTGATATATACAACTATTTATGGACATGGATCTTCATATGTTGAACATTGATATATATAACTATTTAGGGACATGGATCTTCATATGTTGAACATTGATATATATAACTATTTATGGACATGGATCTTCATATGTTGAACATTGATATATACAACTATTTAGGGACATGGATCTTCATATGTTGAACAGTGATATATACATCTATTTATGGACATGGATCTTCATATGTTGAACAGTGATATATACAACTATTTAGGGACATGGATCTTCATATGTTGAACAGTGATATATATAACTATTTAGGACATGGATCTTCATATGTTGAACAGTGATATATACATCTATTTAGGACATGGATCTTCATATGTTGAACAGTGATATATACAACTATTTATGGACATGGATCTTCATATGTTGAACAGTGATATATACAACTATTTAGGGACATGGATCTTCATATGTTGAACAGTGATATATACATCTATTTAGGACATGGATCTTCATATGTTGAACAGTGATATATACAACTATTTATGGACATGGATCTTCATATGTTGAACAGTGATATCTACAACTATATATTCCCATGAACGTTATATTGGTTGTGATGAGGAGAATTGTCTTGAAGTGTAACGAAGTGAAAATGTGTGTCTACTTTTGTTTGTTTGTTTGTTGTTTAACGCCATACCCATCAATATCCCAGCAATATGGCGGCAGTCTGTAAATAATCGAGTCTGGACCAGACAGTGCTCAACAGCATGAACATTAAACTACGTAATTGGGATACGATGACATGTGTTATCCAAGTCAGCGAGCCTGACAACCCGATCCCGTTAGTCGCCTCTTACGACAAACATGGATCTTCATGGGGTGCTGAAGATCAACCCGGATCTTCACGGGTCGTGTCTGTTTATGAACATATGTAATCTGTAATATGAGTGTGTATTTCGTGGGTAAAGTTTATAACGACGTAGCTTTGATAAAAAGTAACCATACATTATGGTCGGTATTGGTCTTAGAAACGTAATTTGATTAAATTAATTAAGTTCATTTGATTTGGAACGACCTTCAAAATTGGATCATTCAAAACATACAATAACTGCAACTGACAAAATTCCTTGTTTGGTTTGGTAGTTTAGAAAAAGACCCACTATTAAATCAGATAATCCTCTCTGCTAAAAGACACATTTACATTTGCACTCTGAATAAAATGTATCCAAAATTGAATAATTTCTTAAAGTTTTTAAAAAACACATTCAAAGTTGAAAAAAATGTATTTCCCAAAGAAAGAATGATTCTTATATATTTTCATAAAAATGATCTCATTATTCGCAGTTTATTAACATGATGACTTCGTCTAACTTGTAATATTTTACATGTAATGATTGGAGAACCCAGTTGTATCAACAATGTGTACCTGCTTGCATATTTCTATATGCATTGTATATATACTCTTTACGCTTGATTTGGGAACAACAAAAAGAAAAAAAGAAGTTCATTTGATAATGTTTGTTGAAATAAATGTTAGGTTTTACTAGGTGTAATTCTAATACATTATATACCTCCAGCTTTTATCCACTGTATCCATACCGCATACTTTTTAGTGAAAATGAACCTACACGCACTTCATGGCAGTGTGTCTACTGTGACAACATTTATTCAATTTCAAACAAATCTAATGTATCTAAATCAACTTATTAATAAGAATAAACCATGGAAATACAGTTGAAATAAATTGTCTGAAAGGAAATATGACAACACCGTTTATGAAACCATAAAATGGCCTGTGCTCAAACCGATATGATTCCGCCGTCTAAATTGGAAATATAGATGAACAAGGGCAAGATGAAAAGATAGTTCAATGAAATTAATAAAAACGTGTGCCTTTATTAGCCCTTTATCAAATTTACATTGAAGCGACATATTGCTGCCATTGATTCAATTACTATTTTGTATAAACAAAAGAACATGTCAACTAAGGACAGTACAACGACAAATAAAGTATTCCTGAAATATTTTCAAAATCAGTTCCAACAACCGCCATTCAAATGTATAAGACTCTGAGGTGTACTCTATAATATGTTTAACTGTACGCTGTTATACTGAATGTGTAGTGTTGCCACGATAACGTCTATATCTGGATAAGTACATCGAGATATGTGTATGTTTATGTGTAGACAATTATTTACGAGATATATTTTATAATAACTATAATTTACTGTATTACATATATATCTGTGATGAATATAAATGCATTTAATCAACTTCTTTGGGAAAAATTGAGTCTCGTGGTTTAATTTTCCTCAACAAAGAAACGCTGTTAGTATGAAAATTATAAACTAAAAAGGAAGAATCTCATGTATTTCGGCAATGTACACACTCAAAATCCCAATCCCAATCACATACACGATACGGTGGCCACACCTATCTTGATAAATACTGCTGCATTTTGTACCCCTTTGAGTTAGTTATACTATACCATTAAAAAAAATTAGGGGACATTTCATTTTGTGAGCATACCACTAGCCACTGCCAATGCATATGAGAAAAAAATAATATATATCCACACTAATGAAACATTTCAAAGGAATGGAATAAATTGTCACATTTTCCCTTAATTTCTCTTCATCATCTGTTTCCTTCTTGGCTCCATCATTTGAATTTTATCAATCTTGTAAATCCAATATCCCTTCTTTTTTTAATGGTATATTTACAAATACATATATGTGCGAACTGTGCTTTATTTTAGGAGTGAATGGGGGGTTTGGCTGATTTGAATTAAGAATATACTCCAGAATATACTCGTATTCCTCAAATAAAGAAGTTGACATCCATAAATTCTCGCCTTTTTGTGTATCACTTCTAAATGCCGTTCAAAGACACTATACAACACATTTTGGGTGTGGTAAAGGTATTGAAACACAGGTGACAACTAATTGGGTACATCTGGGCGCATATAGGCCTTTTCATGCCCAAGATCGCCGTAAAATCTTAACTACCTTCCTACCGCCCTAATTGGTAAATATCTCGAAAAATACCGACTGCTGAATTACATTCACTAACTCAAAACTATAAAAAGATATCAGTGATTGGAAGAATATGACAATAATTAAGTAGGATTTCTGGTACAAAAAAACACAATTATAGTGTTACACACACAGCTATCAAGTTGCACGCTCTTTATTTTAAACAAATCGAGTGTAAAATATGACGATCCACATATTATGAGAGCTTCGAGAAATGGGGGAGGTCTTCAAGTCGCACCGGGTAGTCTACCCATTGTCCACCTGGGACAGTAGTGCCGTGGATCTCATCTCTCCATTGTCCCGCAGGTAAATAGATTTTCCTAGTCAGGGCCCCTGGATTCAGCACAGGGGCAACCAAGAGGTCATTACCCAGCAAGAACTCATCATCCACAGTCAAAGCCGACTCATCTGTTGGTGCAATCCACCAAAGGGGCCGCATGATCGGAGCACCAGTTGAAACTGATTCTCTGGCAAGTGTGACAATAGTGTCGGCATATTTTTCTCTCAAAGCAAGCATTTGTTGTACGATAGACATTAATGTTGCATTCTTGTACGTCCAGGGAGTGATGGCAAATTGGATAGTGGGCATCAGTGCGTTGGCCTGTGTCCACCTGATGAAGAGTTCCTCATCAGGCCAAACACCACCGTAACCGTTTCCGCCAACCATATCAGGGAGTATAAAGGAATAGCCAATGGAACTGAAAACAAGACCCGACGTAACAATTGTCTTCAAACCCTGCTCGTAGGTCCAATCAGAATTTTTATCAATCATTCTTGTCATCGCAGGTAACGACTGTGTCTTTCTTCCAGTTCGAACTTCATGACGTCTACTGGCGTTATCTACCCTTGCAACAGCTTCGGCATAGGATCGAGCAAATACATCAGGGTTACGGAACTCTTTAGCGGGTTGGTAATCAGAAGGAAGATAATTTGCATCTCCAGCATCAAACTTGTACGAATCAACACCATACGTTGTCCGCAGGTTCGCTAAATTACCTAGAAACCATTTCGTGGCTTCAGTGTTTGTGAAGTCGATAATACCCGCCCATTTGGCCTCCCACCAAGACACTAGAGCAGGACGACGACCTGACATGTCTTTCATCAGATAACCTTTAGAGGCAGCATACTCGAAGTTACTTGATTCGAGATTTACAAACGGAGGAACCCAAGTGGTGACTGCCATACCCTTCTTGTGAATTTCATCAATCATGCCTTTGGCGTCAGGAAATTTTGTGGCATCAAATACAAGATCTCCAAAATTGGGCATCCACTTTTCATCAATTTCTAGGTTTGATATTGTGAGATTATTCTTTAGGATATTGTCAGCAAATTCAAGGACTAAGGATTGGTTGATGTTCTTCTTATATTGTGCCCATGTTGACCAAATAGGCTTTCTCAGGACGTCATCGTTTGGTGTCCCAGATGGTTTACTGATGTACCGCTCTGACATGAACGTATGGATGTCCATGACATCCCTCCCCACACACATTGTGTAGTTCAGAACTGGCAGAGAGTTGTCAAAGTTTCTGTAAATGCTGTTATCATACTTAGATTGCAGACAAAGCATTCTGTCTCCAGTTGCATTTATACTGACATACAAAGGGATATCCTCTACAATCCAGATACCGATACCTGAAGATGTATAGAAGTATCTCTCCTGAACAGCTCCGTAAGGAAAGCCTGAATTGTCATTAGCAACATAAGGCCCCATGGCCATGCTGAGCTTCTCCAAAGGCCAAAGCTGCTGATGCACCTCCGCCCCACCATACCAGTGTGTACCATTCATGAACATACAGTCGGTGATTACCTGGGTCACACACGCCAAGGCTTCGATGGATATGTCTAAACACTCCACATCATCAAAATGGTAGCTCCTGAAGTAGCGTCTTGCAATGTTAGGGTTAGTTAATTCCACCTCAGTCTCCTGTCTTCCCTTTGGGTCAACGCTTGTTCTGTGAGTGAGCTTACCAAAAGGAGCATCTGTTGATCTGTCAAGGAGAGTCTCAGTGGATCCACGTCCAGCGTTCAGACGAAGAGTGGTTGGTGAGCCAAGCCGGAGGACATGAGAGCCGATCTGGATATCCTGTTCATTCCTTCGCTGAGCCTGGCTCAAGCTCAGGACAAAGGCCAGTAGGATCAGACGTGTCATATTTTCTGAAAGAATTACAGAATGCAATAGCTAAAATAGCATAATGGAAATAAGTGAACCAAGAAATATGACCCGATACCTTGACTACTGTCACTATTTATAAATATCATTCTCGTAAAAAAAATCACTTGAAGTCTCTCATAACTGAAATCGACTTTTTAACATTCCATAACTTGTTTGTGAGTTGAAGCCTAAAACTGAAATAAGCACCAACAAGCATAAACAAGGGGCAGAGACAATAATATTCCCAAGCATATGTCACCGGTGAATGAACGTTGGTTCAGATATACCAGGGCAAGATGTTAATTCAGTGTGTAGATAAGATGCTGGCAAGTCAAGGATCATTATTAGGGTTAAACTATAATCGACCACAGGATCCAGTGATCGTATCATCTGGATTTTCCAGCAAATGGGCCTTATTTTATTATTACAAACAGATATATTTTATAACCTAATGGTTACTGTTGCACGCATCATATTCTGGTTCTGTAACAAAACCGGTTTTGACGCTTTGAAGTGTTTTTACCGATGTCAGTTTTTGGTTTTACTTTGTGCTATTCAGATGTCCAAACTCCCCGTTGTTTTACGCAGTCATCAGCATTGTTCCAGCAATATCCTCAGGTGCCGCAAATAATCTTGGCCAATTAAAAAAGTGATCGACATTATGAGCAATTTTCAACGTCATCGGGCTACGAAGGCAGTTTATTGACTTTGTGACCGAACTGAATGCTGGGATACTTTTGTACTCGAGTCAGCAGAGTATCATGTTACTGAAAGGATAGGATATTGACTCATTTACTGATTTCCCCATATGATGCTCAACTTGTCTGTATTTCAGTTTCTGAGCAGAATACACAAAGGTAGCTCTATTCATTCCAGAGTAACTCCGGGTTCGAATCCCCACATGGGTACAATGTGTGAAGCCCATTTCTGGTGTCCCCCGCCGTGATGTTGCTGGAATATTGCTAAAAGCGGCGTAAAACCAAAACTCAGTCACTTTAAGTAATTTTCAATGCTGCTGATTGAATAGTAGATTTCTCAGAAGGTACAAAAATTCATTAACAGTTAAATAACCCAAATATAATTACAGCTTTTGTGCTTACATTTTTAATGCTTTCACCGGCAATAATGGGACTGTTTTGTAATGTCCAGTTTGAGATAACAAAAGCATTGCTTTGACCTGGACAGGAGATATTTGACACAGTTGAAAAGTTTTCGTAAGCTATAAGATTCAGTGCTCAAAGTAGTTAACACCATTGTCTGGATACGAAATATATTCAATGGGCACTGAAATTAGTCAGGAACATTAATTGAATGCAATGATTCTGATTTATCGAAAGGCCTGACAATAGCCTGAAATTGGATGGAGAACAGAAACGTTTGACATTGATGGTGTGAGCAATTGTTATGCTATATACAACGTAAAATATAAGGAACAATAAATGCTTTATGACGCCATACATGCACCTTTTACAACGCAAGTATGTGCTTGCCAGGGTTAATTTTGAAAAAACTAAAGAAATTGTGTGACCTCATACTAGGTAAGTTAATTTAATTCCATAATTTATCATTGCAAATTTCTAAACTTCAGTTAAACTTTCACTGCCCGTTTGATGTTCACACATTTCCAATAGATGGTATGGACACTTTTTAAAATTTTTAACAATGGTTCTGAAAATGGTGGCATATGACTGTGACCTACCTCATTATCAGCTTAAGACGTACTGACATATTCTTGTCATCCTTATCGCTATCTTGTTTCCACGTGACGTCAATGTGTTTCCGAGATCGTGTCTACAACCACTTGTTATACCAAAGTAACGGTAAGTCTTGCTTCTATTTTATGTCGCCTCCCGATAAGCGTATGTAGGTTAAGCAGTCAGTCAAAATTATGCAATAAATATGCTAATGTTATCAAATGTGGTTGATTTAAACATTATTTAACAGGTCGATACAATGAGGTCGATACAATACATGATATCACAACGTACCATAACCCCATGTGTTATTGTTGTCGTTGCGTGTCGTAAGTTGTACGATGTTGTATTCTTGAAGGTATACCAATATGTATTTGGTGTTTCCTCCCTTCTTAAAGTGCTAAACTGTATGTGGCCCTGGGTAAAAGGGTTGTTAAAGCATTGAAGAAGTCCGGGTTCTGTTCCAACCATGAACCAAAGTTGGAAGTCCATATTTGGCGTTACCAGGTGGAGTAATCCTGATCATTCAGCCTCGACAAATATACTTAAAAATCCAAAACTAATTTCACCGATATCACTAGCATTGTCCGGCGTTTTCTGTTTAAAGGTACCCGCCGTCAACAGGAAGATGTGGATCATATTACATCCCTTAATTCTGTTGGGTTTTTGCCTGTACAATGTGGCTGGCTTCCTGTTAGACCCTCTATCCCCTCAATACATCACCCAACATCACGGGAACGTTACCCTTGGTCATGCAGTCATTGATGTCGAACACAGACGGGTCGCCTTTCTAGACGACAAAGGTCAGACCAAAATTAAGGGAAACCTGGGCATGACATTACCTTCAGACACCCCCGCGCCTGTTAAATCATTAGAAGGAAATTCCAACCTCCACGTTACCTGGCCTGGTGTTGCTGACCTTGAGGCCAAGAGCTTCACAAGAGAAGGCATAGAGTGTACCCAAATCACGATGGAAGCAAGGTCGTGTGTGAGTCAAATACTGCAAGACTGCTACAACATGGATGGATCCCACTGGTACGGTGGTGCTGAGATGAGGCATCAGCTATGGCCACTTGAGAAGGTCAGCATGGACTTTGGACCCTACGTTACCAATGATAACCATATGTTTCCGTATGGTAGTGTGCAGGAGCGCTACTTCTTCTCGTCGTCAGGAATGGGATATTACATTGACGAGGATGTTCCTTTGTTTGTTGCTATCAACTCGTCAGGAAACCATCAGCTGTGTTTCCAGGCTAAATATTTCGGTGTGACGTATAGGAACTACGACACGTGTCTGCCTTTGCTCAACTACACTGTGTGTCAGGCCCAAAATGCCCTGTCTATTCATCAAGCTATGTCCGGCTGGTACTTCCAAAAGCCGAACGGAATTCCGAACGAAAATGTTTTGAGAAAGCCAATTTGGTCAACATGGCCAGAGTATAAGAAAAGCATCAACCAGACTTTAGTGCTTCAGTTTGCTTCGGAACTTCAGAAATATAACATGGATGTCTCCAATTTCGAAATTGATGAACAATGGATGCCGAACTTTGGTGATATTGAGTTTGATTTAGAAAAGTTTCCAGATCCTAAAGGAATGATAGCAGAACTACACAGAAAGGGCTGGTCTGCTACTTTCTGGATCCCTCCATTCGTAAATACAGACTCTCCTAACTTTGAGTTATTGGCAGCAAGGGGGCATCTTCTGAAGGACATGTCGGGAGAGAGGCCAGCCCTGGCTAAATGGTGGGAGACAAACTACACAGGGGTCATTGACTTTACCAACCCTAATGCATCAAAATGGTACTTTGAAAACCTTGCTGTCCTGAGGACTAAATATGGTGTGGATTCGTTTAAATTTGATGGAGGTGATGCAAACTATATGCCGGCAGTGTACAAGCCATACGTTGAGTTCAGAAACCCAAGTGTGTTTTCCAGAGCATACGTGGAAGGTGCTGCCTCATTTGACGACATCAGCAGGCGTCATGAAGTACGACCTGGAAGCAAGACTCAACATATCCCAGGATTTGTCCGAATGGTGGACAGGTATTCAAACTGGTCAGACAACCAAGGCTTTAAGAGCATCCTAACCGCATCCCTCGTGTTTGGGATTCTAGGATATCCCTTTGTCCTCCCTGATATGATTGGTGGTAATCTTCAGGACGATGTCCCTGATGCTGAACTCTTTGTTCGCTGGGTCCAGGCAACAACCCTCTTGCCATCCATGCAGTTCGGAATTAAGCCTTGGAGATACAATTCCACAGTTGTTCAAATAACAGAAAACATGCTGAATCTAAGAACTCATTATGCTGACAAGATCGTTCACCTTGCAAAGCAATCCGTGATTACTGGCTTCCCAATCGTGCGGCCCCTCTGGTGGATTGCCCCCACGGATGAGTCGGCCCTGACCGTGGATGACGAGTTCCTCGTCGGGGACGACCTGTTGGTGGCTCCCGTCATGGACCCTGGCGTCTCCCAGAGGAGGATCTACCTGCCAGGTGGAACGTGGAGGGATGAGATCACAGGAGGGACACTCGCCGGTGGCAGATGGATCGACTACCACGTGAGGCTGGAGGATCTCCCTCACTTCGCTAAACTTGCTTGATGCAGTAACATTTTTGGAAAAAGGGAAGTGCAAGACACGTTAGCATTATTGCGGAACATTGATCACTGACAGTTTGTAAACCTAGTCATGATTAAATCAAGAATAATTACTCATTATAATTCCAAAGTGACATCAGTTCAATTCATTTTCGTGGAGAAAATGAAGGCTTGGTTTAGTTTAATGTTAAGTTGTGCACGCAAATACACAACATTGTGCAGACGTTAGGAGAATGTTACAAGTGAACGTAACGTTGAGTGTGAACGTTGAAGTACAACCATCTTTAACCATTAGTATCATATATGGCCATATAAAGTTTCGTTATTATATTTGTTATTATATAATTTTTGAGGTTTGAAATATAGTCCTGTGTATGACATTTTGCATTTTTAAACCCAGATTCTCAAAAATACTTAACTTGTTTTTCCCACTGAGTTCACAGTGTGGAATAAATATTACATGATGAAATACGATGGCACAAAACGGCCAACAAATCTCAAGGAATAGATATAGTATTCCCAGAAATTATCGAGACAGTTGTTTCAGCAAATATCTAAAACATGTATGTAAACAATAGAAGTTTTACTGAAATGAATATGTTGAGATATGATTCTCTTACAGTCTAAGTGTCTTTTCAATACTTTGTGAGACCTCCTTGCCCTGCAATACACGACTGAATGCGCCTAGGTACACTACCGATCAAAGTGTGTAGGGACTCATGTGACAGCGTATCCCAATATTCGACCACTTCTTTCGTCATATCCTCAATATTTCTACGTCCTTGTTGGTTTATTCTGTCCTTCACATTCTCAATGGGGTTAACATCTGGGCTGTAGCTTGGCCACTCTAAACCTTGAACATTTTCGTCCTACAACCACTGTTTTGTGTAGCCCGCAGTGTGTTTTGGGTCGTTATCATGCTGGAAAATCCAGTTATCTTCATACAGTGTTCGTACCACTGGAAGGATGTGACCATTTAAAATGTCAACATATCGTTCCTTCGTCAAGTTTCCAGTAAAAGTACACAGCGGCGTCACTCCACGTGATGATATCCCACCCAACATGTTAATTTTGGGGCTATATTTTGGGCGTTGGTAGATAAGTTTCACGGCATCTTTGGTCCAACTTTTCACACAGTTCGTGAAAGGCCAGACAGAACTTTCTTCAGAAAAGAAAATATCATCCCAATCTTGATTTTCGTGAGCCCTACATCAGTTTAAACGTCCTTCTTTTTGTGCATCTTTCATCACAGGTGAGGAAATTCCGCGCTTTTTCACCCAGATAAGTCTTGGTAATTCTAGTCTAAGGCTTTTATTACCTACCTGAGGACTTCCTCTATTAATCATCTCATTTCTGATATTCTCAACGCTTTTCAATTTTCCCCTACTCACAATCTATTCTCGCCGGCGATCCGTTTGAATTTTGGCCCCTACTCACTTGTGCTGACCAAGTCGCCTGGCGATCCGTAGTTCTGAACTGTAGACAGAGGAATTGGCCTACCCTAACCCCTGTCACATGCTTTCAAAATCATCAACTCCTGACTGAATATTCTTCAAAGTATCTGCCATGTATAGGAAGTAGACAGAGGAATAACTCATGTCTACCAGGTTAGTACTTCTCCTCAAACCTTTAACGTTCTTGTTTGAGGTGATTTCAGGATCATCTGCAACAACCAAAGAGGAACAGATTAATCTTCTTGTCAAATCGGCAAAAATACATCAACACATCGATGTTCCTAGTGATCTGTTGACTGACCATGTGGAGATGAATGATGGATCTTGTATTCCTGACCATAATGCAATGGAATGCACAAAGTCTTGTTGCACATGGGGATAATTTAAAGCATTTTCTATCAAATAGGTCACCACTGCCAGATATTATTTGTGTACAGGAAACTTTTCTTTGGCCTGAGAGTCATTTTAGAATTAATGGCTATTTTGGTCTACGTCAGAACAGACTAACCAGCAATCCGAATACTAAAAATCCTCGGAGAGGTGGTTGTGCTATATTTATTAAGACTGATTTGTCGTATCAGGTTCAAGAATTACCAAATACAGTGTATGAGGCTAACGCAGTAAAACTTCATTATGAGGAAGATAAAGCCATTACTATTGTTAATATTTATAATACAGGTAATCCAAACGTAGATGAATATCTGAAATTAATTGATCCCAATGGAGGCCCATATTTTATATGTGGGGACTTCAACAGCCATAATATGTTTTGGGGAAGCAACAAGACGGATTATAATGGTCGGATTGTTGAACAATTTTTAGATGAAGCAGATCTTGTCCTTTTAAACGATGGTAAAATGACCCGCATGGATCTTGGCAAATGGACTTTTTCTCCTTTAGATCTATCAATGATATCATCACACATAGCCAGTAAGTGTAACTGGGATTTATTTCAGGAAGATGCGTTAGGTAGTGACCACTTTCCTGTTTTTACTGAAATTCAGGTTCGACCATATCGTCCCTCGGTGGAAATTCAAGAAGGCTAATTGGGCACTTTTTTCTAGTCTGTGTACTGAACATATCACATCCGATCTTATAAATGGTGATGTTAATATGTCTAATGAAAATATCACAACACAATTAATAAGAATTGCAGAAGAGTCCATTGGAAAATCGTCTGTTAAGAAAGCGGCATTCCCGCCAAAGTCCTGGTGGAATGACAGCTGTGAAAAAGCCAATATCGCAAGGAAAAAAGCATATAATAAGGTTCGCCACTCGTCATTGCCATGTGATTTGGTTGATTTTCGTAAGAAACGAGCTACGTTCCAACGTATTGTACGGAGTACAAAACGGTTGAGCTGGAGGGAATATATTTCTAATATTAATAGATTTACATCATTAACTAGTATCTGGTCCTAGGTGAAAACGATCGGTGGAAATAATATTCGTTCACCTATACCGGTAATGGGAGAAGCTGGAGAACTCGTATCAAAAAGTCAGAAAGTAAAGGCTCTTGTTAAGCAATTTAAATCTGTTAGCAGTTCTGAAAATTATTGTCATGAATTCAGAGAATATAAACATGTTTTTGAAACAAACTTTATGCCTGAAATGTCTTCTGCCATGTTGGAAAGTAGCTTGGAAGTCAATACAGCTATCACTCATGATGAACTTAAGGCATCCATATCAAGAACACATAATTCGGCACCAGGCGCGGATGAGTTGTGTTATGAAATGTTTAAGCATATGCCAGATTCTTCTGTAGCTGTTATTCGGGAACTGTTGAACTTAAGTTGGTGTTCTGGATCCTTGCCTAGGACATGGAGACATGCAATAATAGTTCCAGTGCCCAAACCAGGAAAAGATCCATCGCTTCCTGCATCATATAGACTGATTGCTCTCACTGGAGAGAATAGTTACTAATCGCCTGAACTATTATCTTGAACGAAATGAGCTTCTTACTCACATCCAGTCAGGATTCAGAAAGGGGCGTTCATGTATAGATCAGCATGTTCGTCTGGAAACTGAAGCAAAGAAAGCTTTATGCAACCAGGAGTACATGTTGTGTGTATTCCTTGATAAAGGCTTGTGACATGATTTGGAGAAATGGTTTGCTTTTTAAATTGTGGAAACTTGGAATTAGAGGCAACATGTTCAAGTGGATATGGTCATTTTTGTCCGAAAGAACCATTCAAGTTCGCATATGTCAAGAACTGTCAGGCGTGCATATGACTGAAAATGGTACCCCAGAAGGAAGTGTAATAAGTCCAGTTTTTTTTAATATTATGATCAATGACATTTTCGAGGACCTGCCTCTAAACATAAATGCAGCACAGTTTGCTGATGACGGATCGTTTTGGAGACGCTTTGGTAATTTTCAGTTTGTCATAGAATCTATACTAAACTGCTTAAGTAAAGTCAGTACATGGTGTTCAAAATGGGGGTTTAAGATTTCAAAATCAAAATCAGTGGCTATGATGATCACAAGACGTAAGATCCCTCATGATATCAGTTTAACTCTTGGACACCATAAACTGGAAATGGTGTCAGTGTTCAAATTTCTTGGTGTGTATTTTGATCAAAGATTAACATGGTCTCATCACATCACACATTTGTATAACACATGTAACAAGATCATCAATCTATTAAAGTGTATTTCAAAAACAAAGTGGGGCGCTGATAAGTCAACTATGTTATTGCTGTACAAGGCCCTTATCTTGTCCAGACTTGACTATGGTTGTCAGGTGTATATGTCGGCGGCTAAATGTCATCTTAATAAGCTTGATAGAATTCAGTCTAAAGCTTTGAGAATATGCACTGGTGCATATTGTACAACTCCAACCTCAGCTCTTCAAGTTGAGTGTTCAGAAATGCCCCTTCACCTTCGAAGACAACAGGTATCTTTGAAATATTTCTTGAAAATGAAAACCAAGAATAAACACCATGCAGTCACTGAGATTGTTAATGACTGTGTGGAATATGTCATGTGTGACTGGACTCATGGCAAATTACCCTTTGGCTTGAATATTCAGAGATTAGCTGATCAACATGGTATTTACAACTGTAACCCAGTTGATCCTTCTGCTCCGCCTGTCACACCTCCGTGGGTTCTGCTGAAACCTGGGTTGAATTCTGAACTCAATTTAATCGTGAATAAGAGAATGGACCAAAACATAATAAAAGTGATAACTCAAGACTTTCTGTCTGAAAATTATTCTAATTTCACACATATATACACTGATGCATCGAAAGAACCATCCAATAATCGTACTGCTGGGGCTTTTTGGATACCCAATTTATCGATCGCTAAGGTGTTCAGATTCCCTGATTATCTTTCTGTTTTTGCAGCTGAACTTTTGTCCATTTTGCAAGCATTGAGATGGGTAGATGAACATGACCATGAAGCAATTATCTTTACAGATTCTATGGCAGCAATCAAAGCTATAGAAGCTGGTGCATATGGATCTAGAGATGACATTGTGCATGAGATATTAAAGTTGGATACATGTTTAAACATGAAGTACATTGCATGCGACATTGTGTGGGTCCCAGCACATGTTGGAATACATGGGAATGAGATTGCAGATAATTTGGCCAAATCCGGGTTACAGTTTCCTGAAGTTGATTTATTTAAATTTCAACCAATCCCTAAAGATTATGAAAATGTTTTATCGAAATCTGTTACAAGGAGTTGGCAACAGTTGTGGGATACAGGTACTACCGGCCGACATATGTACAAACTTAGACCATCACTAAAATCTGGTCATAAAATTCGTCGTCGTAAAAGGCGTGATGAGGTTATTCTTTCACGTCTAAGACTTGGACACTGTGGGCTAAATGCCTACAGGAGTATTATAGATAAGACGGTCTCTTCTAAAT